ATCATCTCACAATCCACAGCAGAGGACATCATATATCCAACACCCATCAATCAATCAAAAGGACCAGCTCACGACCCAAAGCATACCACATCATGAACGCCATCTCTGAATCGATATATCTCACGGATGAGTTTATGATCCAACGCATACCACATCATGTCCAACATCTAACATTGAATGTAGCATTCACCCGAATGCTGCGCGTAACCACACTTGGCAACGCAAAAGTCCCGCTGACTGCCAGGCAGAGAGGCTAATGCGCTTTTCCAGGCGGCGAAAACGATGAGCTCAAATCCTCTTCCGAGCCATCCCGGCCCGGAAAAGGCGGCGGGAACGTCGCGACTGCGCAGCAGGAGAAAATGAAGCTGCAGGCTCGCTCAAGCCAGCGGGGAAAAAAAAAAAATGTTGCGTAACAAACACGCCGTGGACATGGGACGGCCACCGCTGCCAAGGCGGGACAACGCCCGTGATTGACACCCCAACCTCGAGAGTCAAACGCAATGAATCAACAAATTTGCACTCAAGCTACACCTGCAGAAATCCTTTGCACTTCAAGTACTGCCACCATGATCCAATTATTATTATTATTATTTTTAAAAAGCACAAATACTTTTGTAAGCCACAGTTGGATTAGTTGAATGATTCCGTTCAAAAATGACACTGAAATAAATGTTTCAAAACAAAATGGTCATCAAGGTGAAATGGAAATGTTTTGAACCTTAAAAGACGAAAATTGATTTACTTATTCATACATTCACGTTAGATATTAAAACAAAAAAAATTCATGATCCAAAGCATACCACATCATGAGTCCCACGCCATGAAAGGGAGCTTCTCCAAATCATACCACATCATACTGAATGTTCAACATCTATCTGTTGGGAGGACCACCCATGATCCAAAGCACGCCACATCACATGACAAAATCTTTTCCGACCAATTTTTCTATGAAAAGCAACATGTCAGGATCCAAAGCATACCACATCACACAGTCAACTTTTGTCCTATCACATGACGCAAAGTAACCCACATCGCATGACAAACATTTTTCGACCGATTTACCTAAGGAAAGGAACTCCCATCATCCAAAGCATACCACATCAAAATTAGGAATGATGTGGGCTTCAAAAAGTGTGTTTCGTTTTTTTTTAAACACTTTTATGACAAGTTTGGAATGTTAAAACGATTCCTTTCCCCGTCTCTAGTTCAGGTCTATATTTCTGCAGCCCTTGCGAGAAGCCGCTCAGTTTTGGGACAGGAATGTGCTGAGCTGCCAGCCGTGTGCTCAGTTTGGGAAAAGCCTCGTAACTTAAAACCCGCTACGGCCGGACGGACGCCGTCTGGCTAGCGCGCCGTTCGCGGGTCTGTCCAAACACGTGCCCGATGGGACGTTTGCCAGACGCCTTCTTCAACCTGGTTTTGGAGTGAAAAGTTTTCGTGTCATTTGAGCCCCCTCGTCCCCTCGCGGGAGCGCAACCCAACACCGGCGGAACAATCTGGGGCTCACCCCGAGTCAAATTTAAACATTTTTCAGGGAGCCTCTCGCAGTCCCACGTTGAATTCTTTCCTTTAAGACATATCGGAAGAATGAAAGCAGTTCATTCAAAAATGACAAATACAGTATGTCCTTCGTCATTAGTTTCACGGATTTAAAAAAAAGAGCAATCCAACCCCCCGCCCCCCCAAGCCCCGTGCCCTCATTTACACCG